CACTATCTAAGGGGTATACCTTTGCTACAGCAACAATCAGGATTTGCTGATGGATTTGCAATATACTGTTCGGTTTCCAGAGCTACCAATTGAAGGTCAATGTTATCTGCTTGCTGGGCCAAAGTGAATGCATGTTTGTTGAATTCTGTGGCTTTGGAGATGTTCCAGTATCTTTGCGCGATATAATGATGCGCAACCGCATTATAGAAATCTACAGCTGTCATTGCAGCCATCAGAGCAGGGTCATTTTACAGGAGAAAAAAGCTCACCTTCCCGGATGGGTGCACTTCCAGCCTCGAAGTACTGAATCCCCTCCTCGATCCAGCTGTCGGGATCTGACATCAAGTCGTAATATGGATTCCGGAGGATCCTGCACCTGTATTTCCATCGCAACGTTGCACTGTCTGTTTCTTCGATCAAACGAGGAACTTTGCGGAGAAGTGGACTGTTCCCCTTCAGCATGATCACAGAGAAAGAGTCTAGTGTGACGATAGCCTCTCCCAGTTCGATACACGCACATTTTCCCTCTGTTAATAAACCAGCCTGGATGAGGTGGGTGATATTTCCAAGGTGGCTAACCAGGTCTGGGGCAAGATTTCCGGAAAGTAGGTCACCCCTGGAGTTCCAGACTTCGAGCAGGCCCCGGAAATATTGTCCGAAGGGGTCGCACCAGGGCAGCGGAAGGTGGGTAGGACCGCCTGACGTATTCGCGAACAGGGCTCAACGCTTTCAGGCGTCCTTTGACGTCTATGTATGCCAGCGACGTGCCGACCAAAACTGATTGACATTGACGAACATCGGGAAGGGGTACCTTCGCTGCCATCATATCCTCCGGCGTGATTCCATCCGGGAGAAGGGAAAGGAGGGAGATGAGATGTTTCGCATAGGGGGACGAGGAAATTCGTGGACTGTTGATTGAAAATGAGATGAATTTCTCGAGATTGGAACGTTTGTCATTTCCATCTGAGAGAAGCGCAGTGTTCTCCGTCTCCCACCGAGCTAAGGTATTCGAATATCCTTCGACTGATGCTACGTTGGCCATCAGACTGACAGCCAGGGGAAGACTGCCTGATAAATCTAGAAGGTCATTAAGAGCTGATTCTTCTTCGTTGCCAGGTTCATCAGCAACTTCAACAAATATTTGCCGCGAGGCAGAAGGGAGAGCGGCTCAAACGGGCGGAGGAATGGTCGATTCCATTTCACTTTCCCAGGCCGTTCAGCTCCTCGCATGGTAACCTAATAATAGATCAGCATTGACCGTAAGGATGTGATAGGTCGACTCACCAGCAACGCAAGGCTCGTGATGGCAGTCAACAAGCACAATAAATCTTCCACTTCTCCTCGGGATTTCATGGGCTCCCATGGTGTCTCAAAGTTGTCAAGCACAATGAGACACGGTCCACACTGTTCAAGGTGCCGCACTATCGCCTTCGAGAGCCGACTCGATGGCTCCAGTCCCAAATGTAAACCAATGGTGGTTACCATGTCTGGATAACTGGTGGCCGTTTCGCACGAAATGAAGTACTTCAGCTGGTATTTCTTCATTATGGCAGGATGGTGTAGTGCGGCCATGGCTAAAGTAGTCTTTCCCATCCCACCGGGGCCGAGGATGGCAACCCGCACAGGATCACTCAGAAGGGTATCAATGAGATCTTTGAGCTCAGATTCCCGCCGTGGAATATTTTTGGGAAGGCGGAGAGAAGTGACAGGGAACCAGAGCTGTGGTCGCATGGAATGAGTGGTGATGATGAAACAGTAATCTATTCACCTGTTGTTCAAAGAACTCCGTCCGATCTGTTTGGTGATATCAGACCACGAGGACGACGCTCATAAATCACGCCCACCGAAGATGCATTGTCACTTGAACCACTCTGGGATGAAATCAGTTCAAGGAGTTCTTGATGCCGCCGCTCGGTATCAATGGGGTACTCGGCAAGAGCATATGCAATTCCAACTCCAGATTCCATCTTTCAAAGAGCGAGTCAGCCTCGCCATTGGTCACAACTGTAAACCTACGCCAAAGATCTGCACATTGGCTTTTAGCTCTGCCTCGCAGCGATCCAACTCCGCTATGATTTCATTTTGTTTGAAAAGACGCTTGATTTTCCCCAGCTCTCCCTGTGCTTTCAAACAAGCATAAAATCTTTGAAGTGTGCTGGGATTACACAAAACGTTAATCGATGGAACTTTGACTATGCGCAGTAGACGTACAGGGCACATTGAGCAATTTGGTCCAGCATCTTTGGAGATCGAATATCATCCGAGTAAATGCACAGGCTCAGGAGAGCACCGAGCAACTGGTGAATGTCTTCCATCACGCGGAGGCATCGATCCTTCTGAAAGCTTGTGGCCTACAATTCCATTGAGACAAGATATGGATTGGCTATCTGACTGCCATACCTGTACAATGGGAATGATTGTCAAAGAGAGCATGCAGAAACTGTCGAGAAAGGGTATCTGGGTTGCAGCTGCAACATCGTGGAGGGCATGTGCGGCTACAGCTGTATACTGCAGGATTTTGTCGAGGGAGTCGAAGGACTTGGGGACCATCACTGATGGTGGAAAGCTGCTTAATGAGATTCCTTTTTCGTGGGATGTGCGACTCATATATACACGACCACGCTATTTTCGAGGCAGTGTTGACACCAAATAGGTCAAAAATACTCGTGTTGACCCATCAATTGGAGAACTCTTGGAACCGGCGTTCGTTACTCGGACCGTGCCGTGTAATCCTACCTACCTACCACCTGGAATAGGTCAAGTAGTTTCTCAAATTCTCATCGTCACGGTGTGTTTGAGACCAGCGGAGTTTGATGTGAACTACGTTCGATTAGCAATCCGTGTTATTGCCCTTCCACAGAAGCAGGCGACCTTTGATCCATGCCCGCCTCTGAAATGCCATCACAGAGATGCGGAACAGACAATGGACTGGCCATATGCTAGGAATTGTGTCGTGTGCGAGTCTTCCTGTATCACGCCTAGTTTCGATCTTGATAGAAGATCGAATCCGCGTGTGATCTATGGCTACGATCGGAGCCTATAAGAGAAAACAGCTTGGTATATGGGTTAGACAAATGATGAGGTATCCATAGCAGAAAAGGCAGGCTAGCGGCGCATGATGAGGAGTTACCGAATGGAATAATTGCAATGATGTGCAGGCGAACAGTGGTGTCGCAGGTGAGCCGGCGATCACCTGGCCTCGGTTTGACACTGAGTCTCTAAAGAAATGTTTATCCGGAATAAGCAGAATGGAAGCAGTAGCCTGGAGAGATGAATGGTTGCTATGCGACACAGGCGCAACGCAGAGATGTGCCATCGCATCTTCCTGATGAGGGCGTACTAATAGAACCGCCTGAGGCGACTGATGCTGCGCATTGCGATTGTCACGTAAGAGAAGACGATGGCCGACCCCCCAAAAAGATTTTTTTTTTTGGAAAATAGACCTCATATACTCACTGGATCGAGAGAATCCCAGAGTCCAGAGTTCTGCGCACCGCCGAACCCGTGTACTATGGGAGCGAAGATCCAGGGATGAAACGGATGCAACACAATTTCGTAAGGTGGTTGAAGAAGCAAGTTGTAGGGAGAAGGCGAGAACCCTGATCAATGTCCGTGATTTCAGCGATACCGGCCTCACTTTTACTCTGAAGATACCCTGAAACACTTCTGACTTCTGCCATAGAATCACCTCAAATCCCTGATATCAGCAACGCAATAATAGGGTGTTTCACGACGGCTTTTTTCGGCCTTTTTTCAGGTCTTTTTTCATACCTTTTTTCAATCCTTTTATCAGCGAAAAAAGGCCCAAAAAAGGCTCAAAAAAGGGCCTGTCATGAAACCCCCAGTTTTCTATAGTTGAGGTGCATTACAGCTATTTGCGGAACTTGGGGCGTGGATCATTTTTTTTCTAAAAATTGATGTTTTCACTAACAGCCTTCTACCGAGCTCAGTTTTCATCCGATTGCCTTGGAACCTGGACGAATCGATTCGGAATGTCATTTTACAGTGCTTAGAACCCTTCAATGAAGGCGAATATTATTTGTTACTGTTTGGTCCAAAATCCTGGGACTTTTTAATATGATCCCTGCATCATTGTAACAAGTGGCCTTGGGGCTCATGGGCTCAAGTAGACCATCTTAAGCATAATATCCAGTGCTTAGGGTAGTTTAGATCATCATTGGAGGGTGGAAACTAGTGAAATAAGCTGAGAAATTACGGGTATCTTGTGATCTATATTTCACGGCCTCACTATTTATCCCGAACATCATCTACTCCTTGAAAAACCATCCAGCGCACTGTAGAACATTCTCAAGATGCCTGTGCTCGAGTTCTAGCCCCTTCAGAGGCCTCCTGCAATGCACAGAGGGATCATATTAAAAAGTCCCAGGATTTTGGACCAAACAGTAACAAATAATATTCGCCTTCATTGAAGGGTTCTAAGCACTGTAAAATGACATTCCGAATCGATTCGTCCAGGTTCCAAGGCAATCGGATGAAAACTGAGCTCGGCAGAGGGGTATTAGTGAAAACATCAATTTTTAGAAAAAAATGATCCACGCCCTAAGTTCCGCAAATAGCTGTAATGTTTTTTTGCCTCAAAATTCCTACAAATCTCTGGTACTCACCCATCTCGAAACAGGACAAAGAAAGGTAGTATAGTGTAATGCTGCACACGGGATTTTCTTACATTCAAGCCGATGTGTAATTCCCGAGGTTCTTGATCGAATAAAGGTGCTGCTCTGGAGCAGTCTGGAGAGGTTTTTTTTGCACATAATTGCACATAATTGCTCTGAATCTCCAGCACTCCACCCACCTCGAGACAGGGCAAGGAAAGCAGTACGGTGTAATTATGCAGATGGGGATTCCTCAGGACAGATGGGATCTGATCAACCCTGAGGTCCTTGTTCGAACCAAGGTACTGCTCTGGCAAAAATTGCCTTTTTTTGGCATAAATCCCTCTGAAGTTCTAGCACTCATCCGCATTGAATTCCGGAAATGAAAGCAGTATGGTGTAATGCTGCATGCGGGGTTTGGCTATGTCTTTGACTTGTAAAAGTGTACTTATCCCCGAGGTCCTTGTTCGAGTCAAGGTACTGCTCTAATGGTTGATTATGGCATTTTTTTCGGCACACAAATTCCTATGAATGACTTGCATTCCACCCATCATGAAAGGAGGCAAAGAAAGCAGCATGGTGCAATGATGCACACAGGAATTTCTTTCTCGTTAATGTGATAATAGCGTAATCCTGAGGTCCTTGTTCGAGTCAAGCTACTGTTCTGTTCTACAAGATTGCTGCATTTTTCGAACAAATTTCATCAGAATCTCTAGCACTCAATCGACTTCAAAACAGGGAGAGAAAGCAGTATGGTGTGACGACGCACACGAGATTTTCTTACACGTTTGAAGATGAGAATAATATATTCCCGAGGTCCTTGTCCGAATCAAGGTACTGCTCTACATACGGTAGGATCCAATGATTTTTTTGACACAAAATTGTTCTGATTCTCAAGCACTGAACAACCTACAAACAGGGCAAAGAAAGCTGCTGCAGTATGGTGTAATGATGCATGTGGGATTTTCTTATGGTCTGAATATATCTATCCCGAGGTCCTTGTTCGAATCAAGGTACTGGTCTTCCGTATTCCGAGCTATGTTTTTTTGTGGCTCAAAATTACTCTGAACCTCTGACACACTACCCACCTTGAAACAGGATAAAGAAAGCAGTATGGTGTAATGCTGCACTCAAGAATTTCATAATGGTCATGCAACATGTATTCCCGAGGTCCTTGTTCGAATCAAGGTACTGCTCTTCTGCTTGATTACCTTTTTTGACACAAAATTCCTACAAATCTCTGACACCCACTGACTTCGAAAAGGATGAAGGAAAGCAGTATGGTGTAATGATGCACACGGGATTTTCTTGAGGTATTCGAGCGGCATGCGTAACTCCCGAGATCCTTGTTCGAGTCAAGGTACTGCTCTGACGTATGAGGTCCCAGTTTTTTTTGAAAAAGTTCCTCTGAAATTCTAGCATTCTACAGACCTTGGAACAGGACAAAGAAAGCGGTATGGTGTAATGATGCACACGGGGATTTCTTGCTGCAACGCATGACTGTTTCTCCCCAAGTTCCTTGTTCAAACCAAGGTACTGCTCTGTATGGTCGGGATCTAGGAATATTTTTCTATAAAATCCCACAGAGTTTCTGGTACTCCACCGACTTCGAAATGGCCCAAGGAAAGCAGTATGGTGTAATGATGCACGCGGGATTTTCTCACCTGGAGGAGAAAATAGGTTATTCCTGAGGTCCTTGTTCGAGTCAAGGTACTGCTCTTTGCCGGCCCACATCATGCTTTTTTTTTGAAAAAAGTTGGATGAATAGCAAGCACTCCACCCACCTTGGAACTGGGTGGGAAAAGGCAGTATGGTGTAACGCTGTATGCGGGATTTTCCTTAACATGGCATTTGCAGATGCTCATCCCCAAGGCCTTGTTTGAATCAAGTTACTGCCCTAGTTGTCGGATTGCGGTGTTTTTTGTTCTTTGCCTCAAAATCTCTACAAATCTCTAGCACCCCACCTGGAAGTGGGTGAAGAGAGCAGTATGGTGTAATAATGCACACGAGATTTTCTTAGGTCGGGAGAGGCCCTTGTTCCGGACCATCATGTTGGCCGGATTTCCCACGCCACTGGGAAGGGTGTGTGCCCCCGCTGTTCGATGACGGCGACGCCTGTTGGTCACCAGAGTCTAGCGGGGCACACAGACACTGTTCACCTCCCTGTGACGTTAATACAACGTCAGGTGCATCGTCGCCCTCTTTCCCGGGAGAAAATCCCGAAGCACTGTAAAGTGCATGACATTTATGCCAAGCTAACACTGTCGATAGATACCATTGACCGTTGCCAGCTGCACCTGCAGCATCTGGGACCTTGCAGACATGCTGGCCCGACCAAACCTTTGAGCCACTTCCCGCCTCCTCCTGATGAAAGACCTGACCGACTTGCAATGATGTCATAACCTGGATTCTTCCCATCAGAATCTAGGCCAAGATCCAGACCCTGATGTCATCTTTTTCACGATGTTCTTGTGTGGAGATCGCCGATATTGACATAGTCTCCCATGTCCCTGCCTTAGTAAGCGATCCACAGGGGCTGTGCTAGGCCTGTGGATGGCTTACATACCCCCACAGCATTGGATTAACATCCGGTGCGACACTGTCTTTGCCGCTGCTCGGGTAGCATGTGAACACTGGAAGCTCCTTTTCACAAGTAATACATGAGCTTGCCACATTTTTCACGAGTTTGACTTAAGCACACAACGAAATGAGTACTCTGACATATGGAATGAATGTCAGGATACAGTGAAGCGCTGTACACGCTCACCGCGCCACTAAGGCCTATCATTCTATCCAAAAACCTCCAAATACTATGGACTTACAACCATTACAAAAAAATTGCGGCGCCATGGACCCTCCTGGAACACGGGAGGGTTTAGGGGAGCAGGCGCATCCTCCTCGTCAGTCCCCGCTGGCTACGAGACAAAATCATGAAACCAGCGGGAGCCGGGGCGACCGGGGGCCTAGCCCCGGCTATTCTCAGCGAGACCCCCCCTGTGGTAGCTCCAATGTTGCTTTGGCTGCTGCAGTGACTGGCGAAGAGCAACAAAATATAAATACCTGCACGCGGCGGCAGCATATAGGAAACGGCAATGCGACGGATGTTCCGAGCTTACCACCTAGGGGTTCAGACTTGCCATCCCACTCGCGAGAATCCAACTGCCCGAGGGGAAACCTGAATGCTGCTACTACTGCCCAATGTACCTTCTCGCAACAATACATGCCCTTGCCCCCGTTTTAACTGCGCGACATGAAACTAAGAAAATTACGAGCTCTCTGACTTCGGTACGAGCGTCAGAGAACCTCGAGTGCTGCGTGTGTGCGCTCGCCGCTGCACTAACCTCACACGACACAGCTCGCTAGCTCTACCATCCAAAAAACTCTTTACTATGACAGCACAACCAATACAATCCAGATTTAGCGCCACGGACCCTCCTGGAACGCGGGAGGGTTTAGGGGAACAGGCGCATCCTCCTCGTCAGTGCCCGCAGGCTACGAGACAAAACACTGAATCCAGCGGGAGCCGGGGCGACCGGGGGCCTAGCCCCGGCTATTCTCAGCAAGACCCCCCACTTGGCAGTTCCACCGTTGCTTTGACTGCCACGGCGACGAGAAACGAGCGACAAATTCCCATCACGCGTGCTCAAGCGCGTCGTGTCGGTAACGGCGGAGCCACGGCTAGCCCGGGCACGCCGTCCGGGAGTTCAGATTTGCCATCCCGCCCGAGAGAAGCTGGCAGCGCAAGGGTAACCCGAGCATTGCGGGGGATCAATCGGGAGGGACCGCAACTGGCCCCAGCACTCCGCACATCGGGGTAAATGCCCAAACACAGGGCAGAGCTACGGGCTCGAGGCATCAATGCCCTCCAAGGGGATGTCCTCAAGATGAAGACCATGCACCGGCCTTTTTCAACCGCAAGAGAGAAAAGCAACAAGTAGGAAATCCTCGTATCGCCCGAAACACAAGGGCCACATTAAACCTGAAAGCGATTAACATAAATGGCATCAAGGCTACCTCGCTATCTCAAGAGAGCCACAAATGGCACAGCGTCCATCGTATGATGGGCGAAGAAAAGATTGGTGTTATGATTGTTACAGAGACGCATATGTCGGCTGCCCAAGCCCTAGAGATAGAAGGCAGTTATATGAACAAACGGTTGAAACTCTTCAACTACGAGTACCCCGAAAACCCGGCCGCGAAGGGGTAGCTATCGTCCTGAATCGAGAAATCACTAACACGGATGGCGTAAAAATCCATTACCTTATACCTGGTAAGGCCCTCCTCGCAGTTATTCCATGGCACGGTACAAGAACCATGACGGTCCTGGGACTTTATGCCCCGACAGAATCTGATGAGGTGAAGATACATTACTGGAACACTCTGTGTGAATTGTGGCTAACAACCGACCTACCCGTGCCAGACGCCATAGGCGGTGACCTCAACCTAATCCCTGACGCGATTGACCGACTACCACATCACACAGACTCTGACGCCGTAGTTGCTGCATATCTGAGATTCATCCGTCTTATGGAACTGAAAGACGGTTGGAGGCAAAACAATCCAGAAACAAAGGCGTACACCCATGTAAGTACACACGGGACCCTGTCCCGCATAGACCGAATCCTGGTGTCACCCACCCTCTTGAAAAACTGCCACAATTGGGAAATTAGCGATACGGCAGGCAGTCTGACTGACCACAGGATGGTATCCGTGACCATCTCCGCCCCGGGGCCCCTTATATAGGAAAGGGCAGATGGGCGGTACCACTCTTCCTACACTATGATAAAGAATTCATGATTACACTGTAGAAGAGGCATGTAAGCTGGAAGATGCTATAATGGAACCACGCACCGAATCGTCTAACGCCCAAACACGGTTTGAGAAATTCAAGGACGCAGTCCTGGAGCGTGCACAAAAAGAGCTAAAACCGCATAGGAGCGTCTGAGAAAAAGAAGAAAACTCTAGTGGAAGAACGCGAGGCACTGCTAAATAGTCCGACATTGAAAATCCAGCCCCGAAGTGCCGATAGATCCGGACCCTGGGCCTGACAATGATGATCCACCGGCCCCGGTAACCACGCCCACCTGCGGAAGGGAAGTCACAAGAAGAGATTGCAGAACTCGTTGGAGCTGTCGAGAAGAAAATTGATGAACTGGTGGACCGCCAGCGCGAGAGAAAGCGACTGGAAACAAGGGTCCGCGGCTACACTGAGCTGAACCATATCACGAAGTATGCTGTCAATCTTAGTAAAGACAAAAAGCCGAGAGATACGTTGACATACCTCCGTAGGACAGAATCACTCCCGAGAGGGCAGCCGACGGTCCTCCGAAATGGCAGAAATTGCCCGGACTACCATAACGACCTCCAAGCGGATGGGATAAATGTTGACCTGGGCGAACGTGAAGAAGCTCGCCGAGCTGCCCTAAACTCATGCCTCAACTAGGGACAGAAGTGGATATGGAACCACTAACAGAAAAACTCACCGAGGCCGACTACTGAAAGCTCTCATGGACGCGGCGCCTGGAAAAGCGTCCGGAATAAACGGATTCGCAACTGAATTCTGGCGGCGACTGGAGGCGATCCATAGGGAAAATAAGAAAACTCTGAAATGAGACCCGAGAAAAGGACATGCGATATAATTAAAGTACTCACATGGGTGTTCAAGATATTGAGGAGCATGGCATGGTAGAGGGCTCGAAATTTTCCCTGGGGTGGATGTGTCCCTGTTCAAGAAAAAAGACCAGACAGACATCGCAAATTACCGCCTATTACCGTCCTGAATTCAGACTATAAAATATTCACAAAAGCGTTAGCCAACAAACTGAGTACGGTTGCGCCATACCTTATCCACAAGGATCAATCGGGATTCATGAAAGGCCGGAAAATTACAGACGCCATATACCTGGCCATGGAAGTAGTTGAATACTCCGAAGAGGATCTACAAAACGGCGTCATTGTGGCACTTGATCAGGAGAAGGCGTATGATAAGACCCTTCACCCCTACCTATGGGACACTCTCCGAGGACATGGTATCCCCGAACTTTTCATCAACACGGTGAAATCACTGTACAAATTTGCGGACACACGCGTCATAGTGAACGGCGAGTTGAGCTCACCCTTCCGAGTCACAAGAGGGGTTCGCCAAGGTGACCCATTATCTTGCCTATTATTCAACCTGGCAATCGAACCATTAGCGTCCATGCTACGGCAATCCAACCTTAGAGGATATTCCATACCTGGAGTGGCGGAAAATGCGGTGGTCCAACTCTTCGCCGACGACACCACCGCCTACTTGAGCGAGTATGACAAATTTGAAGATCTTAAAGAAATCCTAGACAAGTGGTGCCTCGCGTCAGGAGCCCGTTTCAACGTTACAAAGACGGAGATCATACCATTCGGAACTCCAGAATTCCGCGAGCGCCTACTGGAGACAAGACAACTTAACGTGGATGATAACCCAATCCCGGCTAATATCCACATAGCAAAGGAAGGGGAAGCTGTTCGGATCCTCGGAAGCTTCATCGGAAACGGCGTGGACGCTTTCAGTGTATGGACGCCGGTACTTGAAAAAATAGACTCCGATTATGAGAGATGGGCCAGTCTTAACCCGACCCTAATCCTGAAGAAAAATGCTGATCAGATCATAGCGGGCTCCCGATCCCAATACCTAGCCCAGGTCAATGGGATGCCAGCCGCAGTAACGAAACACATACTGAAATCCCAGAAAGAATTCATAAATGATTCAAATCGTCCATGATATCACGCGACACCCTGATGATGCCCCGCGAAAAAGGTGGAATTGGCCTGCTAGACCTGGAAGCCAGAAACGAGGCGCTTCTATTGCTAAAAGCTGCAGCCCTGGCAGAAACTGACCCCGCAAGACGTGCTCATTGGGCGTCGCTAGCACTCCACAGCTTATCCCAGCATATTGTCAAGCCATCGTCTGTAGCCAAAGAGGCGAGGACCACCTTATGATCCAAAAGATCAAGGTAAACCAACGTGACCCCCCAGCCCTACATAAAAAATGGTAAAGTGCCTGAATAAGTACGGCCTTAGCTTCGAGGTAGTACAACCCTCCACTGATATACAGAGAGCCTTACCGCTGTGGCACCACCCTGGAGAGAACAACCAGAAGAGCCAACAAAATAACGGGGCCAAGGCCAAGTGCTTGAGAAATAACCATACCGGGATGACAATTGGCGACGGATTAGATCTAGTCAAACGACTGGATGACCCCGTGCACGACGACCACAATCCTTGCGAGTGCGTAGCGTGTGAAGAAGATAGGATGGCCGGAGGGTGTGATAACCCTCATGCGTGCATTAAAGCGGCGAAGTCTCGTTTAGGCCAGATACTCCCCAAATGGATCCCTGCAATAGAGAGACTGAAGAGCCAAACCCCGAAGGGTGCCTGCTAACCCAGAGAAGACGACGGACACTTCCGACCCCCCAAAAGTATTACGTCACTCGCCCAAGGCCTCCGAGTGATGACCCGCAGGACAGGTGAACCGGTGGAACGTGAAGATCCACCTGTGCGGCGCAGAAGAGCTGCAGCCGAACCCGTCCCCGAGGCAATAGAAATATACATTACAGGGGTGGTGCACGCACCGTCAAGCAGACAAGCAAGCGCTGCGGCTGGCGTTTCCTTAACATCGAAGATGACAGGAACAAAGGCAAATGTATTCCTATCATGGAAGCCAGTCACAATATGGAGCTGAAATTTTGCTGCTTTAGAAGCGGTTAAAACTACAGACAGAAACACAATGCTCACAATAACTAGTACGCAGAACTACGTTCGGACGCGATGAACAAAAAGTTATCCAACTGGGAACATGAAGGTTGGGTAGGGGTACCACACAGTGAAGTCCTACGTTGTTTAGCAGCAGAGCTTAAAGCCAGGAAAGCACCCACAATTTTCAAGATAGCAGTGCCTGGCTCTGAAGAAAGAGCGCGATGCAAGCATGCCGCCGCCCTGGCAAGAGAGCCGCGAGGGACCGGAGAGAGGGACAGTGGGAACTCACGCTGCCTCCGAATACAGCCCTCCCGGGCCTTAGCCTGCAAGGAAATCGTCAACGTGTTTTCTACCGCGGCATACGCGAGGTAAAAACTCGAGTGAAAGCCATGACCCCGAGGCCATCAACATCGAGAATGCTCGATATCGTGAGGAAGGCGGCAGAGGACGCCTTTAGCAAATACACCACCAACGAAGAAATCTGGAAATCACTCACCACCAAGGACATCCTCCCCCGTACCTCCCAATTCCTCTGGAAGGGATTCATAACGCCCACAGGATAGGCAGGTACTGGGATCACATACCGAATGTGAGAACGAGCAATCTGCGCCAACTGCGACAATGTCGTGGAGGACTTGGATCACATCCTACTCAAGTGCAAATGCCCAGGCCAAGAACTCGTATGGAAAGCAGCAGAGACTCTCTGGAAGGAGAAAGAAGAGGTATGGCCTGAGGTGTCACTGGGCACCATCCTAGGATGCGGGCTTGCGGAATTCCGTGATGATAAGGGCAAAGTGAAGGCGGGAACACAACGGTTGTACCGGATATTGATGTCCGAGTCTGCCTACGTAATCTGGAAACTACGGAATGATCAGAGGATCGCCCAGAACGGAGCACCAGCGACAGAACAAGAGATACTCAACAAATGGAAGTTTGCCATAAACCAAAGACTACAAGTCGATATAACGCTGGCTAATAGGCCGCGCAAAGGCAAGCGCCCTGCTCTGGTGCCCAAGCTGGTCCTTACCACTTAGTCAGGTACACTGGACAATGAGCATGACTTACCGGCAGACTGGCTCCAGGAGCCCAGAGTTTTAGTGGGTAATCGCGCATTCTCTCAGACCCATTCCCGGCGACGCAACGGCCATGGAATTGGGTGACGCGATAGTCCCACACTACCCAATGGGTGTGCACAAAGCATTTCTCTGGGTGGTGGAAACCACTCCCAATGGAACAAATGTTTCATACTTTACAAACCGGTCGGATTAACCTATTGTTAATTGCTATTGGCTAATGTACCACCAAAAAAAAAAAAAAAGAGATTTTCTTAGGTCGACCAGAAGATCAATCATCTCGAGGTCCTTGTTCGAATCAAGGTGCTGCTCTAACTCTTCGTTGATGCCAATCTTGTTCTTTTTTCTGCACAAATATTCTCTCATTAACTTGAACTCACCTGACTTCGAAACTGGGTAGGAAAGGCAGTATAGTGTAATTATGCATGCAGGCATTTCATTCCTAGTAAGGCGATGATAATGTATTCCGGAGGTCCTTGTTCGAATCAAGGTACTGCTCTGGCGGAGACCGAAGTAATTTTTTAGGACAAATTTCTCAAAATCTCAAGTACTCACCCACCTTGAAAGAGGGTGAAGAAGGCAGTATGGTGTAAAGATGCACACAGCGATTTTCTTGACCGTTTCCCTGATCATGATCAAGACAACCCTGAAGTCCTTGTTCGAATCAAGGCACTGCCATGAGCGTTGGATTGCAATGTTTTTTGCCTCAAAATTCCTACAAATCTCTAGTACTCACCCACCTCGAAACAAGACAAAGAAAGGCAGTATGGTTTAATGCTGCACACGGGGATTTCTTACATTTTGGAAAAGCATATTGTCCCAAGGTCCTTGTTCGAATCAAGGTACTGCTTTATCACGAATAGCTGAATTTTTTGGCATAAAAAGCCTCTGAATCTTGGCATTCCACCCACCTCGATTTTGCTCAAGGAAAGCAGTATGGTGTAGTGATGCGCCCGGGATTTTCATGCAGTTTTGGCACATTTAATCTCGAGGTCCTTGTTCAAATCAAGGTACTGCTCTTTGGTGAAATCCGGGACATTTTTTTACCTAGAACCCTCTGATTTTTGGTACTCCACCCAACTCAAAACAGGGTAGGAGAGGCAGTATGGTGTAATGTTGCACACAGGGCTTTCTTGAAACATTTGAAGCATCCTTAATCCCGAGGTCCTTGTTCGAACCAAGGTACTGCCCTGCAGTGGGCTCTAGGAAGTTATTTTACCCAATCTTTTGGAGTTTCTAGCACTCACCGGGTTTCAAACCAGGGTATGAAAAGCAGTATAGTGTAATGCTGCATGCAGGCATTTCATTCCAACTACAACAGTGAGAATGTGTTCCCGAGGTCCTTGATGCTGGAAATGCTTGGGAAATCCAGGGTCGTCCCATCGGAAGAATCTGATTGGAGAAATGGCCAACAGTAACGCAACATCGGAAACATCAACATTGATCGATACTGTTGTTTGACTGTTCTCGTTCGAGAAAACAAACTGATGCGCAGCGCTGCAGCTGAGTAATGTATGCATCACAAAAATTGTGGCAACGAGTATAGTTTCCTGGGAACCTAGGCCATCACCACTCACCAGTGGAGGAGAAAAGAAAGGATTAACAAAATCCGCGGAGAGAACCCGAAAACTTGAAGGCTGAAGCGAGCCCACCGAAAATAGAACAAGCGGGATAAAATGTCTGGACTCGGAGGATGACTCGGATTGGACTCGGAATCCAATCCGACTAAATGCGGCAACGTCTGAACATCCCTGTCCGTAATCGTGTATTTGTAATTTTGTATTGCTTCTCAGATTGTCGACCCCGAGTGACTGGATCTCGACCAAGGGATTTAATTTGGTCGCGCGCTCACCAATTTTGTCATGTCCGCACAAAGCCGGTCTCGCATTACCAAGAACTTGAATGACGTGCCTTTAATTAGTCCTTTGAACTTGCTGCTCAAACATCTGAACGAGCTGCATTCATATTTCACAGCGTCCGGATGGTGGCCAATTCGGAGAGTTGGTCGTGAGGGTATTGAATGTTTAATTCAAGGAGTAGCCTACCAACGCTGGCTTCCTCTGTACCCGACTCGCAGAGATGAATGAGTGTTGAAAGACAGGGAGGATCGGTGAGGGTTGGAATGCCCGGCTGTGGGGGCCCGCCCTGCCCGTCTTGGTCTGGCAGGGGCTAGAACGGCGGCGAGGTCGTGTTACTGCTGGCTCTTGCGCTATTCGCTGCTGATGTTGAGCCTGGGGCCGTGCGGAGGACCGCGAGCTCGAGCTGGAAGACATGGAGAGAACAGGGAAGAGCAGAGACGTCCACAAGGCGAGGGAGATGTCGGTGTTGCTGAAGGAACAATAGTCGGGCCTGAGAGCATGTTGGCGGCGATGGGGACTAGAGCGTCGGCGTCGTGAGCAGTGGCGATGACGAAACAAAGACTTGTCAGCGAGAATAAACGATGTTGTGTCATCACTCGCGGCGATCCACTGCGCTGTTCGGCAACTCCATTTTCCGGTCTTGTTGTCTCACGTTTCTGAATAAGCACCGAGATTGCTGCGCAGACAACTCCGGTATCTGTTTCTTGCCAGCTCCCAACGATCAAGGTCCCGACCACAATCAGTTTTAATTCAACCGATCGGTCCGCGGAGGCTTTTTTTCCACCCCCTGATTCGCGTTCTTTTGGCTTCACAATGTCTCGCATTCCACCAACCTCGAAATGGTGTATGCAAAGCAGTATGGTGTAATGGTGCACGCGGGATTCCTTAGCATTTCTCACCTGATCAACCCTGAGGTCCTCGTTCGAATCAAGGTACTGCTCTTAGGTTTATCGTCCCAAGTTTTTACCTAAATCCCACAGAATTCCTAGCACTCCGCCAACTTCAAAAAGGATGAAGGAAAGCAGTATGGTGTAATGATGCACACAGGGATTTGCTTGACTGTTTCCGAGGTCCTTGTTCGAATCAAGGTACTGCTCTGACAACCATCACAGCGCATTTTCTTTTTCGCACAAAATTCATAAAAATCTCTAGTACTCACCCAACTTCGAAACTGGGCAAAGCAAGCGGTATGGTGTAATAATGCACACAGGGATTTCTTCACTGCAAAATCAACCCCGAAGTCCTTGTTCGAATCAAGGTACTGCTATAATCATGCAACAAGCATTTTCAACAAAATTCCTATGAATCTCTAGCACTCGCACAGGTTCAAAACCAAATGAAATAGGGTAGTATGGTGGAATGATGCATGCAGGATTTTCTTGCAGTACAGCTTCCTTAATCCCGAGGTCCTTGTTCGAGTCAAGTTACTGTTCTGTTCTACATGCTGCATTTTTTGAACAAATTTCATCAGAATCTCTAGCACTCAATCGACTTCGAAACAGGGAGAGAAAGCAGTATGGTGTAACGACGCACACGAGATTTTCTTACACGTTTGAAGATGAGAATTATATATTCCCGAGGTCCTTGTTCGAATCAAGGTACTGCTCTACATACGGTAGGATCCAATGATTTTTTTGAACAAAATTGCTCTGATTCTCAAGCACTGACCAACCTACAAACAGGGCAAAGAAAGCAGCTGCAGTATGGTGTAATGATGCATGTGGGATTTTCTTATGGTCTGAATATATCTATCCCGAGGTCCTTGTTCGAATCAAGGTATTGCTCTTCTGTTTGTTCAGATCCTTTCTTTTGGCAAAGAATTCCTTTGAATTTCTAGCACTCACCCGCATTCGAAAAGGATGAAGGAAAGGAGTATGGTGTAATGATGCCATGGGTTTTCTTAGCAAGTAATCCATAATCTATATCCCTGAGGCCCTTGTTCGAACCAAGGTACTGCTCTGTAGGATCGGGATCTAGGAATATTTTTTTATAAAATCCCACAGAGTTTCTGGCACTCCACCCACCTTGGAACTGGTAAGGAAGAGGCAGTATGGTGTAATGTTGCACGCGGGGTTTTCTTACTTTAGTGAGAATGCTCTCATCTTCAGGTCCGTGTTCGAATCAAGGTACTGCTCTTGAGTCTTGGTCCTTTTTTTTGCTAGTTGCTGCGGATTTTCTTGTACACCATCGACTTCGAAACAGATTAGGAAAAGCAGTATGGTGTAATGATGCACACGGGATTTTCATGCAGTTTTGGCACATTTAATATAGGTTGCGCAAAAGCCGCACAGCCGCATGCGGCTTCATGCGGCTTTTTGGGCATTGTGCAAAGCTGCGGCCTTTTCTTCGCTGTTCTTGGTTCTTATCTTTCGAAGTAGCATTTAATGCCTCCTGAATCTCATATTCCACTCCCGGGAGTGTTGTGTTTTGGATGCTCACCCGTGGGAGGCCGCATTTTTCAGGCATCAAAAAACATCACTCACTTTGCCGATACTTTCATGTATGCCACGCAGCAGCGGTGGTGCCCAGAATATTCCCTCTCCCCACAGTGCCTCTCCTTCACCTCAGGTACGCTTATATTACAATAGTGGATTGACATCTCGCAGATTTCAAATTTGTCGTGCGGCTTTGCACAATGCACAAAACCCGCATGCGGTTCGTGCGCAACCTATCTAATCTCCAGCATTTTTTGTACTAAAACTCCTCTGCATCGCTGACACTATACAGACCTGGGAAGAGGGTGAAGGAAAGCAGCATGGTGTAATGCTGCACATGGGATTTCCTTGGGACTTGGAAAATTGGTTATTCTCGAGGTCCTTGTTCGAATCAAGGTACTGCCTTTGCTCTATCGTCGCCTTCTTTTAAAAAAAAGTTGGATGAATAGCGTTACTCCATCCACCTCGAAACTGGGGAGGAAAGGCAATATGGTGTAATGATGCACACAGATCATGTTTAAATTGTATCACGATGTGCTCATCCTGAGGTCCTTGTTCGAGTCAAGGTACTGCTCTTTCAATGCTGCTTTATTTTTCTCCAAAAACAAAGCAAAAAAAAAGTATGAATAGCAAGCACTCCACCCACCTCGTATGAGGGTAAAAGAAGCAGTATGGTGTAAGAATGCACATAGGATTTTATTTATAAAGTGTCAAAACATGCTCATCCCGAGGTCCTTGTTCAAATCAAGGTGCTGCTGTCTTCCTTTTCTTGTTCAATTTTTTCAATAAAATCCCTCTGAATCTCCAGTACTCGCCCACATTGAAACTGGGTAGGAGAAGGCAGTATGGTGTAATGCCGCACACAAGATTTTCTTACGCCTGAACTACTACGGAATGCATTCCTGAGGTCCTTGTTCGAATCAAGGTGCTGGACAACTCTTTTTTTGGGGGGGGGCACACAAAATTTCTCAAAATCTCAAGCACTCACCTGACTTGGAAACACGGCAAATAAAGCAGTATGGTGTAATGATGCACACGGGATTTTCTTGAGGTATTCGAGCGGCATGCGTAACTCCCGAGGGCCTTGTTCGAATCAAGGTACTGCTCTGGAGTCTGGTGGAGAACCTTCCTTTTTTTGGCTAGTTGCTGCGGATTTTCTTGTGCACCATCGACTTCGAAACAGGGCAAAGAAAGCAGTATGGTGTAGTGCTGCACACAGGAATTTCTTGGCAAGTAATCCACATCTGTATCCCTGAGATCCTTGTTTGAATCAAGGTGCTGCCTTTGCATCTTCGGCTCCCATTTTTTCGGCACAAAACTCCTCCAGATTTCTGGCACTCGTACAGGTTCAAAAATGAGCAAGGAAAGCAGTATGGTGTACACAGGAATCTCATTCTCAGTAGATCAGAGTGTATTCTGGAGGTCCTTGTTCGAATCAAGGTAGTGTTCTCAGTACACTCCTGGACCCCCTTTTTTTGACACAAAATCGCTCTGATTCTCAAGCACTGACCAACCTCGAAATTGGGGAAGGAAAGCAGTATGGTGTAATGATGCGTATGGGATCTCTATATGCTGGAAACAGAATTACGATGTCATTTCTTTTTGGGACAAAATTCCTATGAATTTCTAGCACTCTACCCATCTCGAAACTGGGTAGGAAAAGCAGTATGGTGTAATGCTGCACACATGAATTTCTTTCGTGGCAAAGAATACATAATGTATTTCTGAGGTCCTTGTTCGAATCAGGGTGCTGCTCTCATGTAGGTCCCAGTTTTTCTTTAAAAAATTGAGGCATTCTTGCAAATTCTCAGCGGCATCCGTTCACCCACCTCAAAACTGGGTAGAAGAAGACAGAATGGTAATGAGGCCGAAGTTTCTTTAAGATGTCATAGCTCTCTCTTAAACCCCGAAGTTTTTATTCGAGTCAAGGTACTGCTCTTATCGAGATTGCCTATTTTCTTTTGGCATAAATTCCTCTGAATCTCCAGCAAACATTGAAACTGGGCAACGAAAGGCGGTACAGTGCAATGATGCACGAAGGAATTCATTACTAAAAACACGATGTGAATGTATTCCGAGGTCCTTGTTTGAATCAAGGTACCGCTGCCCGAGACACGTTTTTTTTGACTGGATTCTGCTAAATCTTTAGCACTCCATCGACCGCTCTGTTGATACGATCTTTCAGTTGTGATCATCGCATCGTGCCTATTGCTGGAACGTTAGCTTGGTTCCATCGGCTCACATCGAGGGATCCTGTCCACTTCTGATTTGGCAGATGAGTCTCGACTATCAGGCAGGCGACCCTCCCCGAGGAATTCTCAACGAGTTTTTCGTGTGCTGTTGAATCCATGTGAGGTCGTTTGACGAGTCGGAGTCAGGGTACCTTCGCGCAAGTGTAAGGGGATTGTGCTACATTCAAGTGCTTCAACTTGTGTTAGTACCAAGCAGCAAGAACGATTACGGTGAATTGAACACAGTTCAACTGTGTGGTTCATAATCAACTTAGACCACGTGCCACAGGTTGGCCTTTCCTTTCATGAAGCCAGTGCTTTACTAAAGAACGTCTCAGAGTTACCTTACCATGTCGCCTCCGATGCCAGCCATTTGTTTTAAGTAATATATGACAATCGGCTTCCTCATGGCTACTTTTGAACTTGCTTTTGATGCGCGCCGTTGAAAGGCAAGAAGCCACCGTCTCCCGCGAAAATCGAATCTTACACCAGTAATGAAGGGACATGATTTAGGGTACGCGTTACGGTACCTTGAGATTTCAGTTGACATTTACTATGTATTGTACTATCCATCGGAAAAGAACCAAGCACAATTTAGAAATTCAATACGTGAAAACAACCCGACACGGGGGCAAGTCTTATGGGCTCTCCGATCAGGAGGAAGGGAATGTCATGCATTCGGTGCGGTGCTGCGTTCACCTCGACCATCAATTCGCTGGTACTCGCGAAATCATTCAATTAATTTCAAGTCGCCTGAACTGAGAGGATGAATCTACCCTAGGTGTTGCCATCTAAAACTTCACCAGCCGGATGAGTTCCTCTCTCGCTTCTCCCGCGCGCGCCTCCTTAAGGGCCTTCGCTATCTTTGCCACATTTTCCTGCAATCTCGCGCCCTTGGCACCGCGTGCAGCCGCAAACGTCGCCTTGAACTCCTCCGATGCGTCCTGCACAGTACCGGTGATTTTGACACTACTGTGGAGGGATGGCGCAAGTTGTGGGCCAGCACGAATCTGGGCACGTCAAAATTAAATATGGCGATTCAAAAAAAAAGGGGGTACGGAACACTAATTACCTGGAAGAGCTCGATAGCCACCGGATTGGGCCCTGCTGACAACATTGCGGCGTTGATGGGCTGCTCAGCGCCTACGGGCCAGATGATGAGCGGGATATCCTGCGTAAACGACTCGGTCACAGAACTACGAAAGAACGTGAGTGGTACGAAAATGAAACTGGATGACTGGAGATAGAGGTAGGAACTTACTTGAACCCGCCGTGTGTGAGGAACCATCCGACGCCGCCATGCTGCAGGATTGCGAGCTGCTCGACCCAAAATTCGCAAATGAGCCCTTTCCCGCTCGCGTTGACGCGCTGTATGAGGTCTGCAGGGAGGGACGCCATCGCGGACCCAAGTGCGAAGATGAACGGGAATGGCTGCTCGAGTTCGAGTAACGTGGTCACAAGCGCTTCGACGAGCTGCGGCGTGGCGACCGGGAAGAAGAGCGATCTGGCGAGAGTCCGACATGTAAGGAATCTGAGCAGCAATGCCAAAGAATACACGCGCACCCGAAGGATATGTAGAGGACAGATTTCTTGCCGTATTCACTCACAGCGCGGTCCAAGAACGATTTGACACGCTCGTTGGACAGCACAGCCGGGGTAGCATTGGCCCAACAGAGCTCGTGAGCCTGCATCCCGATGGTAAACAGCTCTTTCCCACGCTTCCCGTAAAATTCACGGAGGTACGGCACGCCGACGGGCTCGACACAGGAGCTGGTGGTGGCAATGTATCCGTCGGCGGCCTTGCCGAGCTTCTGGGCGCTCGACAAAAGCGCACCCATACCAATCGGTGGCCCGGCGCCATACGCGAGGCGTTCGTAGTCGTACATGTCCGGGCCGCCGGGATACTTAATGACGATTCCGGATGTTTTATCCGTGCCGTTAGAGGCCTCGAAAACCTGTGCGCGTGAGGTTGGAATAAATTAATGGTAAACCATCTTGGATGAAACCCAACATTTTGCACAATGTCGTCCAGAGAGCGCCCCTCCCGCTTCGACTCGTCTGCGTAGATTTCCTCAGCTATCGCAGTGAAATCGTAGTTGCTGAAATGTGCGGGCAAGGA